CCCCAAAACCCCAAAACCCCAAAACCCCAAAACCCCATAAGATAAAAAGAATGTTGAAATAGGGGTCTAGCTTATTATTTCAATGTCTAAGTGATCCTCCCTGCCCATTTTAGCATCCTGATCTTGGAACTCCAACACTTTTTCAATGCTTTGGAAGAGAGAGTTGTCTCGAATAATATAGCTCAGAGCTTCGAGTTTTGCAAATCCTTCTATTCCTTCAAAAAGTGTAGTGAATTCTTTATTATAAGTCTCTCGTTGAAAGAGGACCTTTACTCAGACCAGGCCCCAGAGTATGCATTCATTAGAATTATCTTTATCAAAAACTATAGAAGTTAAACTAGCACCCCAGTTGCAAATTTCTTACCTGTTGTGATATCTTCAAGATATCCTTGGTTTATCAGATATCTTACTGACTCAAGAGAAGCTGTCTGGAATACGTTTGCCAAAATTTTCAGAGAAGAAATTTGGTTTCTAACAACTCCTGATTTCACATCCTTCACTAAGGAGTCAAAGACAGTTGCAGGACATTCAATAAACTCTCTATCTTTGATCAGTTTATCAAGAATTTCACTTGTCGAAAGTGAAAGATTGAAGAGTACAGCGTAGGCAGCCCCTTTAGCAGCATAGTACTCTGTACCTGCCACTTCAAACAGGATCTCTTCCAAACCCTCCTCGATCATATGCTCGATAGCCTCATCATTGACTCATCAGACATGACATAGGACCAAGAGGCAGTTTTTCATTCAAGAATTACATCTTTGTCCAATCTCAATTATCTTACTAATAACTTCTTTATTACAAAGATCTTCATAGAACTCACTATCTCTTGGAGAATGCTTAGTCAACTGAAACCTAATAGACAAAGCATTATTCACAGTAGCTTCATCTGAGGAGTCTAGCATTTTGGTTATGAACGGAAGTAAGCAATCGAAGTACTGGAAGTAACTGATATCTGTAATCTCCTATAAGCAACAATGAGGGATGTAACAGAAATTTCTCTCAAATTTTGTGTATAAATTTACCTGGTTGAGGTATAAACTGATCACACATGTCATATCACTCTCAAATTTCTCATCAATACCCTTTTCAGAGATAATATAGGCAATATGCTCAGTGAATTTCAAGTCTAGGAGCATATCCCTAGTTTTTGTGTCCTCAAATGCTAAATTTCCCAAAATCGAGTGCATTGTATTAATAATTTCAAGGTCTTGATGCTCTGCTAGGATTGCTTTCGCAATTTCTGGAAAGTTATACCTAGAATCTCTAAAATAATCACCGCAATTCTTCAAATAACTGAAGCTAAACAGGATGAACAGGACCCGCTTAAGATTAAAAGGATAGTTCAGAAACACGTCCATCAGCCGGATAACTTCAGGGATATGGTCAGAGATTAAATTATTAGTAAGGTGATCCTTTCAACTTAGAGTAATTAAAGAAGTCTTAAAAATAATCCTATAGCAACTTTCAGCACCTTTGTCATCGACCTTCCCATCAAAGATGTGGTTCTCAACTTCATCAAACATCTCGGTTAATGCTTGATGAACAGTTTCAAGATTTTCTTCTTGGGCGTCCTTTAGAGCGATATGAGCATCTGATCTGAAATCCTTCATTATCTCTGTAGGAATATCAAATCCCATCTCTTTGCTAGTGGTTGCCCCCTTCATGACCGATTTCTTAGTCACACTGTATGGGATACCCCTCTTCAAATTAGTTCTTTCTAGGAAGCGCTTCTTCCTCAACCCAACATGGAATTGCTCTGCTTGAGAAAGGTAGTTCTTCAGAACTACGTCCATAAACTTATGGACTCTCTGTTTGGATCTGCCGTCTTCCATTTTGCGCAATTTAAAAATATTCTAAAATTTTGGATCAATTTTTCTTTTATATTCTGGGGTTTTGGGGTTTTGGGGTTTTGGGGTTTTGGGG